AAAAAAAAAAACGTTTTTTAAATTAAAATTAGATGTCGCAAGCCCTACGACATCTCCTACTTAATAATGAAACTTCTCGGTTGCCTTCGCGAAGAATACCAAAAAAATATCTTCAGGATTAAATTGGTTTTATTATTTATTTAAATAAAACTATCAGTTTTTCCTAACATGTTCAAAATTTTGCCGCAACAATTAAACCTCCCTACACTTTTTTCACTCATTACGTCATCCGCTTACATTTCACAGATCCATGGAGTAGCTGGGGTGAAAGGCTTTTTCCGCGGCATGTTGGCGCGTGTTTTGTACTCAATGCCCGCCACAGCCATATGCTGGTCAACATATGAATTTTTTAAATTCTACTTGGCTGGCTCTAATCACAGTACGTACAAGTCATCGATAACTGGCAAAAATGCATTGCAGCGACGAGAAGAAACACCTGAGCGCGGCGAAAAAACTGCCTATGTATTGCCCGTAACAACCACCGAAACAGAGGAGGTGGCGAATGCAAAAGCAACAATAACAACAACAACAATGCCTACATCACCCAGCAGCGGTACAGGTGGTGGTGCGACAGCTGGCCCAACGCCAGGTGGCGCAACTGCGATCAAAAGCGTGTGTGAACTGCCCAGTAATGTGACTACATCAGCATTAAATCTGCACACGAGGCATACAGATGTCAAAAGTGCGCGACCATTCGAACGAGGATACTCGAGTCCGTAATTCTAAGTGTGATCACCAGATACGAAGCGAGCGTTGGAGAGAGGGGAGCAATACGAGACGAAAAATATTGTAATGTACAAAAATAAATTTAAAAAATCTACAGTAAGCAGAGCTAGGGCCAGCGATATGCGTTCATAGCAGACGACATCATCATTACTACGTTTGGCCATGCTGGTGTGTTTCTCGAGGGAAGCCTGGGCGTGTTTTGTATAGTGGCGAGGTAAGGGCAGGTGGAGGTGTATATAACAGCGTCGACGTGGACCGTCACACTGTAGGTCGCCCCAAAAACCTCCCTTCCGTGAAGACAAAGAATGCTTAGTAAGGAACTTGATTTTATGGTGTTTAGATACCCACCACCTGCCTGTAGCGATTTTTCTAAATGCAAACAACCAAGAAAAACAAATCGGAAGATGACATTAGCAAATTAAAAACAAAGATATTTCATAATATAACAGGAATAAACCAATACCAAATCAATGTAGAAGTGGCATGAAACATATCGCCAGCACAAATATAATAACGTTTCAAGTATTATGTAAATATGCATGTCTTTATCTTCACCTCTGCTCAACGTCATTTCCTTACGGCACGCTCCTTTCCACAATTTCAAGGCGGAGTGGAAATTCATGTTTGTAATTATAAAAATATATATATATATGTATGTATGTATGTATATGTAAATCGGTTCGGAAAGTGAGATCAATTCGAAAAATTACTATATGTTTAAAATACTGTACACAATAAAGTCTTTGCAAAAGAGCATAAACTTGTAATCTAATTACACTATAAATAAAGCTAGTTTATAAATACAATCACACACAAAAATGCAGACGTGCTTAGTTGTAGAGTTAACTTCCGTTCCCAGCTCTTTGAATTTCAAAGAAATTGAAGCGCAGCTAAAAAGCGGGAATAATTAAATAAAATTATGAGTTACGAGTATCGGTATTCTAGAAGTACGAGTACGTCACAGTCTTTTATGCAAAAACAACGGAAAACGCAAGTTGAAAAATATGTATGCCATTACCACGCTATGCTACGGAACCTAAGAAGTACAGTCCAAAACATGTAATTGTAATAACAATTTCAACAGAGTTTTTACTGTGATTTTATACCACAAACGCCTTGGATGTTCCAGACAGGGATGCTAGTTTTGCTATTTGAAAGACATGTATTTTTTTCAATATTTTGGTTTTTTGCTCTGTATACTTAGACAGTGATTGCAGGAAAAAATTAAAACTGTTAATATTATTTTAAATTATATTAAACGTAAACTATGCTAACTTAAAATTTTATTGTTATTAAACTACACAACCTTGTAATTTAAAAACAGAAGATCTGAAAAAAAGAATTGTTTTTTTCGCTAAATATATAAGCATTGTGTTTTTATTTATTTTTTATTTTTTTTGGTGGAAAGTTCACGAAAAGGGGGCAAAGTTCACGAAAATCAATTCACTGTTTGGGACACAATGCGTGCTGCCACTCGGAAGGTAACAACTTTGATTTGATCCCTGCTCGGCGTAACAGCCGAAAGGTTTTTTCTAAGAGCGGTTGCCCATCAACTGGTAATGTCAAACCTATTTAATTGTGGGTTAATAGACCTTTTGGTCCCCAGCGTTACCAGATGCGAGGTCGAGGTCGAACCTTAGCTTGCCTTGTAATAGATATCATTTAGGCTGTCACCGATCTTAGTGAACCTACACATTGGAGATTTCAGTAATTTTTTACTCATCTCACAGTGGCCAGAGGAGCTATGTTTTATGCGAAAAATTAGAAGGGCTGTTACGATTATAATAAAAATGCAGGGTCGTAGTATTTTTGTTGTGCTAAATCCGAATATGCCATTAATTTTTAGTTTGACAGTTGACAGCTGTCAAATCAACTCCCAGTTTCTCTAAAAATAAGAAAATCGTTTCGAAAATAGCACTGATTAGTTTTTTAGGCACGCTGGTCGCATTGAAAAGTTTACAGTTGACAGCTGTCAAATGGACTGGGATTTTTTATAAAAAAAAAAATGTTAAATGACCCTGATTACATTATTAGACATGCTAATCACGAATTCCATGACAAATTAAAACTTTGAGAGTTGACAGCTGTCAAATAGAGTGTTAAATTTCCTAGAAATTAGAAAATATTTTTTTAATGCGCTACTGAGAAAGGGTTTGGGCCCGTTTTTTTTTCATTTTACACCAAATTCGTAATTTCCAAAACTTCAGTTTTCTCATTTTTTAATAAAGTTACTCAGGTTTGAAAAATCCATTAATTATTTAAATCTCGGACGCCATATTGGATTTTGCACTTTGGATTTTACAAAACTAGGTTGAAATTTGTAACGAGCGAACTTAAGAACCTATACATACCAAATTTCATGAACCTTCAGCAATTTTACGTCCGTCACGCTAGCTGACCCACTTCTCCAAAAAATGATAAAAA